AACTCTTTCTCATTTGAAGAATTACAAGAAGCTTTTCAAGAATTATTTGGTGAATTGAAGAAAACTTCAAAAATTGCCAAAGAGGCTAAGATAAAAATTCATGCTTTGGAAGAGGAAAATAAATTTTTGGAAAATGATAATTTTGACCTCAAAAATAAAATTAAGGCAATGAATGAAGCTTCTTCTTTTGACCAAAGTTCTACTTGTTTCTCTTGTGAGTCTTTAAAAATAGAGAATGTAGAACTTAAGAGCACCATGGAAAAACTTAAGGTAGAAGAACCTAAGAAACTTGGTGAAGAAGTTAATAATGATAAACCACCTAGAAGAACAAATAATCCTAGGAATAGCAAAATTAATTTTAGAAAGAAAAAAAATAATAAGTTGAGACAACCTAGAAATGAGTCTATAAACTTAATTAATAATTCTAGGAATAATGACTTTAGATCACCTAGAAATTTTTTGGCTCAACCTTGGCATATGCATAACCCAAATGTAATTTGCCATTATTGCTCTAAGATAGGACACATAGCACCCGTTTGTTTTACCAAACACAGGGATTTGTTTTATAGCTATGATTATTATTTGCCTAACCCTCAAGGACCCAAATGTTTTTGGGTACCAAATAATTACTTTTAGATGCATATGTAGGTGTGTTTGAAGACTACATTTTTGTAGTGGATGCTCCAAGCACGAAACCTAATAATTTGCATCAAGGGGAGTTTGGGGGGATTGTTTTTGCTATAAACATGGTATCCGTTTTAAGGGGAACATACAACAATGATGTTTTGTATCAAACATCAATGCTCAGGGAGTACCTTTTTTTTAAATAAAAAAAAACTTTACTTAATGCTTTTTGCTAATGCCAAAAGGGGAAGTGTTTGGGTATATGCAACAAGTGAGGGGGAATCTTGTTTTCAAAGACGTAGGGGGAATTACCATTACTCTATCTTTGAAAACCCAACTTGGCCTGCATATCCCCTCCTTGGTTTGTCATTATCAAAAAGGGGGAAATTGTTGAAACACGGTTTTATCGTGTTTTTGTACTAAAGGCGTGTTTGTTTTTATGATAGGTTTTGACAATGCCAAACCGCCATGAACGAGACAAGTTGTTGAATATACAAGGCAAGAAATAAGTATAAGAAGAAAGCAAGAGAACAAGAGCTAAAAGAGACCAAGAACGAAGACCTTAGACTTAGCATCGTTGAGTCGGTCTTTATTGTGATCAAGACCGACCCAATCTTTACACCTTGGCTCTTTAGGCTAAAATCCTTCATTGCATTTCTTACATCATAAAAATGTTCTTCAAACTTGTTTAAGTCATTAAAAACACTTGGTGTTCGCCCAAACCAAAAGACAAGCCATCCAGCGTTCGGGCTTCAAAAACCGGCGTTTGGCTCTCGGTTATCGGCATTGGTTTTTGGCGTCCGAACCAACCGAGTGGTTTTCAACTTTTTATGATTGTTTTTCACTCTTTGGAATGTTTAAACGGTTCTCCAACAAAAACACTTTGAAAACCATCTTTCGCTTTTGGTCGTTTGACAAAAATCATTCAAAACAGCATAAACTTGGCTAGCCGTGGTTTTCACTCAAATGATGTGGTTTTTAAAGTGTCTCACTTGATTTCTTAGCCAAATACATTGAATAAGTGTTTTGAACACTTGGTTTTTACTTTGGAGAACTTTTCATTTTTCGGTCGGGTTTCACCCATGCATGGGTAAGTGATCCCAAGATTCCAGAATTATGCCACCCAGCGATGGGAAGATCTTCCCATCGATGGGTAAGCAGTCCCTTAGCCAAACCAATTTCCAGAACCATGCCAAACAGCGATGGGAAGTTCTACCCATCGATGTTAAAGCCTTGGTGCAACATTACCACAAGGCAGAATGCCCTTACCCAACGATGAGAAGCTTTACCCATCGATGGGAAGGCTTAACCATCGATGGGAAGGCATGACCGTTGGGAGTCATTTAAGGCTGATTCTTTCCTTATTTGAAAGTCAACCTCCCACTCAGCGATGGGAAGCATTTACCCATCGATGGGTAGGTAACCGTTGGCTTCAAAACTGAAGGAAAATTGGCTTACCAGCGATGGGTAAGTCCTAAACATCGATGGGAAGCCAATATTCTGCAGATCCCAAATCTTTTCGATCCCATAAATCAAGCCAATCATCCCTTAAATGTTTTGATCCGTTGGAGCCTACTTTGGCACTATAAAAAGGGGTGTTTGGGTCTGCTTTTCCAATCAATTAACTTCACATTACACATATTATCATTGCATCCAAATCACATTATTTTCCATAGCTTTATAGAGCCAATTTGTGTGAAGTTTGAGTTGTTCTTGAGCGTATATATTTTACTCATATCCACTCTTAAGGAGAGTCTTGTTCTTGAGTGTCTTAGTGTTGTATACACGTTAAGGG